CCATAAATGTTGTCTTGTGGTTGACACACTATACTGGGATTCAAAATTTGTTTAAAATCCAGCTCTGTCACAAACTCTCTATATGACCTAAGACAAGTATGTTGCTGTGAGATAGTTAAGAAATGAATTCAGACCGTAGATGGGCCTCCAAATGCCTCATTGCACAGATGGGCCTCTAAGTAAGTGGTCTGTGGTTTAAAATACTCAGCAGTAAGGCATTTCACCTCTTGATATCCAAAGGAATGTGGAAGAACAGCTCATTAAGTCCTGCCCTCAAAATGACCATGGTCCCAAATATATCACTCATGGAAGATGTGCCTTCTGCTTTAATGGGGCCCCTCTCTGTGGCTCAGTTCTGCCATGTTGTCATGAGTTCCCCAGAGCAGCACTTATTTAGGACCTCATGAAGTCACCCCATGTAGCTTCTAGACAAAGTGAACCCCTGGCTCCTTGGACTCCAAGACATGGTATTTTGGTTTCTGACTCCTCCTCATTGTCTGTCCCTCCCTGCTCCCCCCAGAACTACCTTTTAGCTTAGCTCCTGGAGAGGAACTCAACCTTTTCAAGGGTATGGAGTGCACCTGATGTCACATGTAACAAAGGAAACATCTTTTTCCAAACAAACCCAGCAGGTATTAGTCAAAAACAATCCAGCAGGTAGAAGTCTTGGGCCCTAAAGCCCAAGTAATCACTGTCAGGAGGGATCCCCTGTTTAGGTGCCTATTCCTCTTCATATATTGTACAGGAAGCCTAACTGCCTATATCAGATCTGATGTGGCCCCTAGCTGCACTTTGGTTAGGGCAGTGGACAAGCCATGAGGAGATATGAATAACCAAGTGACCTGGAATCTAATCACTAGAGCAGGGGGAAGGGTATCTAAAAATTAGGTTATGTTGTTCTGAGAATTGCAATGTCCTTTACTTTAAGAATGTAACCCAGAGTGCCTAGCTATCTCAGCATATTGAAAAATAGCAACCTAGCCTATGGGGACAGAAGGGGAAAACTTAATCACAAAATTAACTGTCCTCTCTTCCTGCTCTTCTGATCTACATTAAACCTGATTTCTACATACTCCCCTGCAAATGTAACATCTCCTAATCCACCCACCTTTCTGGAAAATATGTAATGTGGAATCTCACTCTGATCCAGTCACCTGATAGCCTTCCCTTTGGTAAGCTAAACGGAAAAATTGGGGCCAAACTTGGTTCTGTGAAATGGGCCTTGTTTCCCAATTGTTTACAGGCTTTTGAAAGTCTGTACTGAGAAACATTTAACTGTTAATTCCTATAGTCAACATCCATTCATCTAGTCAGCCAACCAAGCCCATACACATCCATTTACATTTTTGAAACACATATCCATGTGTCTCCTGCCTCCCTATTTATCACTTTCTAAAAGAAAAAAATAATCTCTTGACAGCTGGAGACACAAGACCCATGGTTTGAGGTCAGTGTTCTCTTCCTGGCTTTGACAGTGACTTGCTGTATAATCTTTGAAAGTTTCTTTTCCATTCTGTACCTTGTTTCCCTGGCTGTAAAATCATGGAATAAGATAGCTGTGAAAATCATCAGTTCTATTAATAATGTGATAGCAAGTAACTGAAAAGTATCCTTCCTACTTAAAAGTCACAAAGTTAGTACATGATAATAAATAGGGAAAATGTCCCTTGAGGTTTGAATAGGGATGGCAATGGCCTACATCTGGACTGTGCACCTGGTGGCTGAGTACAGGTTAGCTTGCAGCCCCCAAGCTCTCACCTAGTCACTGCTTTTCCTATCACTCTGACTGCTCTTGCAGTTGGAGACTCCAGGCTCCTTCTCCCTCCTCCAGCTGTCCTGTCCTTGGCCCAGGCAGAGGAGCAGTGCAGCACAGTGCAAGGATCTGAGAGTGAATCTGGGCCACGTATGGGGAAAGGGAATAAAGACTGTATAGCGGGGGAGATTTGTGCCCACATGGGGCAATGGTAGGGGGTGCCTGCAAGGGAATACATAGTAGCAAGAGTGGGGAATCAGGTCCACATGCGGCAGTAGTGGCAGGGGGAACTGGTGCATCTTTGTGGGGTGACCACACAGGCACACAGAGCAGTGGTTGAGGGGTTGGGGAGCATCCACATAGCACATAGCCCAGTGACTTGCAGCTTTCCTGGTGTGGTTTGCACAGTGTGCAGCCCCTGCTGGTGTGGCTCCCAGGACATGTGGTCCCCAGATGCTTATACGATGGACATCTAGATGCCTTAGATGTTTCTAATTTTCAAACAAGCTGTAGAGCATTAATTCACAGATGAGGTCATTTTCAAAGGGATGATTATCAGCAGTCTCAAAGGAGAACACACCTGTACCAAGAAGCAGTATAGGGCTCCTTGTCTCTATAAAACCTCCACACATTTAGAGCTATTACATTAAGGCTCTATGTAATAAAATGAGCAACATCAGTCCAGCAAGACAGCAGGGCCAGTGCAGCCCATCAGGAAATACAATGTGACTTCACAGAGAGAATGAGAACATATGGGACCTAAAGAGGAACAGAGCAATGATGCAATCCCGATCCTACTGCTCATATCCAGGTGCCATTTGATGGAAATGTGGCAGCTTAATGCTGAGGATAGAAGGTAGATGTTATCATTTCTGGGTCAACTGCTAGGGACCTTATTCACCGTGGCAGGGAGCAAGGCAGCCTAAGTTTTGTTTTAGCCCCACACTTCAGGTGGGGGTTGCTGTTCCAGCTCACTTCCTCTTCCATCCTGATATACCACATTTATATTACTGATTACTGAGCTGGATATACCACATCTCTCTGATTACTGAGCTGGAACCCCAAAGAATATGGCTTTCAGTGCTGAATGATACCTGCTCAGTCAGAACTGGGACCCAGACCACATTCTCCTGCTTTTACATTCAAATACACAGCATATAAATGCCAGGAGATTGTGGATGGGGCTGAATGTGTTCCTTAATCCATGATTTCCTTTTTATCCCCTAAACAGCAACTTTTTTCTCTCTCTGCCATCTCTGTTCCTCTCAGGGATTTCTTTTTACTTCTCGCTGTCCTTCTTCAGACTTCTTTCCAGAGCTTCCCCAGATCTAGGGGCGTCTCCCCACTCCATTTCATTGTCGAGTTTACTTAATAGAAAATCAGTGCCTGGATTACTTTCCCTTCATTTCTGTCACAGACTTTGCCATTCTAACTATTCTCCCTGGAATCTACTTAAACTGTTCTTGCCAAGGGTTTAATGTGCTTTTTCTAGACAAAACCAAGAACAAGGGCTCCATTTTCATTCTTCCTGCCCTATCTGTGCTCTTTAATAATCCCACCTCTGTTCCACTTCTTGAAAACTGTTTTTCTTTGCCCTTCATCCTCTCCTGGTTTCCCTCCTGCCTCACTGATAAGGTTTTTTTTAAATATATTATTTAGAACAGCCCTTTTACCCAACCTTCAGATTTATGTGGGGCTTCCACAGAGCTCTATCCATTAGCGTCCTGCTTTCCTGCCTCTGTACCTTTCCTCTATGTATATAATATGGAAACACACATTTCATCATCTTGTCTTTGTTAATGACTGTCAGATCTTCCTCTCAATACCAAACCTATCTTCTCCTGTCCCAGCTAAAATCCCATCCCGGCCTCTTCTCATGGATATCTAGCCAGTATCACAAGATTCACTTGGATAAAACAGAACCTTTTTTTTTTTTAATCCAAAGCCATTCTATTGCTTTCTTAGTTCCTGTGGTATTCACTGTCATCCTGTCTTTTATCTCACCATGCCCAAGCTATTTCTAAAATGTTCAGGTTCATTCTACATATCTGTAAGGTATGGCCTTTCCTACACCTCAAACACCTCAAATGCACACCTTTGACAGCAATAACCTGTCCTTTGACTGATGAATCCAATGTTGTCCTACTAATCCATCTCCAGCAATTCTGTAGAGTTCAGTCTCTTATACCTCATCTTTGTCCATGTCACCAGGCTCTACACATCTTTCTACTATCCTCCCCATTTCTTTACATACTAAATATAAGCTATTTTTCTCTCCTTTCAAGGCTCTTAGTAGCCTTTCCTCACCACCCGTCCCCTACTGTCCTTCATTCACTACCAAAATGGGACCTCTCGCCCCATTTTGGTCTGTTAAACTCGCCTTCCTCAACTTCTTGTTACATTTTCCAACAGGAGCCTTCTCTGTATGAGACCTGGTGGATCACTGGTTATTACTTTCATTGCCTCTAGAAGAACAGGACAGAAATGTGAGGGCAGGAAGCCTGAGACATGATGAGGTACTCTGAAAGGGCCCAGAGCTGCATTTATATAGGACCTTTTGAAAAAAGTCTTAATTGCAAGGGTGAGAGTGAGATAATTCAAAGTCATCAAGTCATTTTGCATGTGCCCAGATCCTAAGAATGACTCTAAGACTATGAAAGGCAGTGGTCAGAGTGGGGCAGGAGCATAATTTATTATGAATGTGGGGTAGGCAGATGAAAAATATCTGTTCTACAGGCCCATAGGTGAAGCAGTTTCCCTGCCTTCCTAGCAAGTAAAATCCCTGCTCTCGTACTGAAAGTTTTTTTGAATTGAAAATGGATTTGTCTTGTTTTGTATGGTATTATAGAATCAAATCAATGCTACTGGAATGGCCTCTAGAGTCCCCCCATCCCTTCTCCTGTAGAGTAGGGCACTTTCCTTTTCTTAGGATTTTCTAAACATGTATTAACCAACTACTTCCCTGTTGTTTCAGTGGCAGTACCCTTACCCCGCTGGCTTTTATCTTTTACATGTGTCATGTTTTAGGGTGATGGTGGTGGTTTGGGTATTGTTCCTTCTATTTATGGGGAAAAGTTGAAAGTAGAGGTTTGTAGAAGCACAGAACTGGACTCAGTGTCCCAGGAGGCCCATCTTATCTGTGTTTTTATAGTTAAATTGCATACCAAGCTCCTTCAAACCAAAAAATTTCCTTTATCTCTAGATACATCTCTTCAAAAACAGTGAAAGGGGAACCCTGCTATACTGGATGGAGAAAGGAAAAGGGAGCAATCAAACATTTATTATGGAACTCACCCTCCTGGGATTTGGGAATGCCCCTGACTTGCAGGCTTTTCTCTCCCTCATGTTTCTTATGATTTACATTGTGACCATAGCTGGGAATATTTTAATTGTTGTCTTGGTTGTGATTGATAATCATCTTCATACCCCCATGTACTTCTTCCTGGGCAACTTGTCCTGCTTGGAGACCTGCTACACCTCTACCATCCTGCCCAGGATGCTGGCTGCCTTCCTGACTGGGGACAGGACCATCTCTGTTAGGGGCTGCATTACTCAAATGTATTTCTTTGGTTGTCTGGCAACTACAGAGTGTTACCTCCTAGCTGTGATGTCTTATGACCGGTACTTAGCAATATGTAAACCACTGCTCTATGCAGCCCTGATGAATAGCAGGGGATGTGTCCATCTAACAGCTGGGTCCTGGATAGGAGGATTAATAAGTTCTCTAATAATAACATATTTCACATCACAATTAACTTTCTGTGGCCCCAATGAGATTGATCACTTCTTTTGTGATTTAACGCCAATACTACAGCTCTCCTGCAGTGATACCAGGTTGGTCATGTTTGTTAGTTTTGTAGTCTCTTCCCTAGCTGCAGTTTTCCCATTTATGTTAACCGTGGCATCCTATATCTGTATCATAGTTGCCATTTTGAGAATTCCCTCTTCCACTGGAAGGCAGAAGGCATTTTCTACTTGCTCCTCTCACCTCATTGTGGTGACAGTTTTCTACAGTACCCTATTGATTGTGTACATGATACCCAATACCAACACCCTGAGAGACCTGAACAAAGTGTTCTCTGTCTTCTACACGGTTCTCACACCTCTTGTGAATCCGCTAATTTATAGCCTGAGAAACAAAGAGGTGCAAGTGGCACTGGCAAGAACCATTGGTAGATTTATAAACTCCACAAAGAAGTCACGTTTAATTAAGGGAGGATAAAGCCCCTTTAAACAGTACTATAGACAAGAAATATGTCTCTGATAGATATACACTGTAAATGTTTGGAAGAAAGGGAGCTTTGGCAAAAAATTGAGCTTTCGGTCAAAAGAAAAGTAAGTTTGGATTTTTTTTTAATTTAAAACATTTTAGAAGGAAAGCACCGAAGAATGAATATATTTGGCTTTGGTTTTCTTACATTTTGTATGTGTGTTTATTGAAGAAAGCCAGTGCTTTCCAATATATTTTTCTGGTGTCAAAAATCCCAGTTTTCTAATTTAAAATACAAGTATTGATAAAATATTTTGGCCACATTACTGTATATTAAGTAAACACATGCTTAGACATTGAATATAGTAATTTTGGAGTGATGTCATAGCTGTAACGGTCCAGGAAACACTCAAGAGGCAAAGCTTTTTAGGGGGTGATATTTGATCAATTGTATATTTGGCAGAGACTTTATACAAACTTTTTGTACAGGGATTGGGCACATGGCTTATGAGGAGATGCTGAGGGAACTGGGGTTATTTAGCCTGGAGAAGAGAAAACTGATGGGGGATTTAATATCAGCCTTCAACTCCCTGCAGGGTGGTACCAAAGAGGATGGAGCTGGACTGTTCTCAGTGGTGGCAAATGACAGAACAAGGAGCAATGGGCTGAAGTTGCAGCAAGAGAAGTTTAGGTTAGATATTAGGAAAAACTCTCTCACTAGGAGGGTAGTAAAATACTGGAAAAGTTTACCCAGAGACGTTTTGGACTTTCCATCCTTGAAGGTACTTAAGACCTGGCTAGACAACGACTTGGCTGGGAAGATCTGGTTGGGGATGGTCCTGCTCTGAGCAGGGGGTTGGACTAGATGACCTCCTGAGGTCCCTTCCAAACTTATTTTTCTATGATTCTATAAGACCATTAGAAGGCAGAGTAGATGTGCACCAATATAGACTAACTAAATAAAAAATAGAGAGAGAGAGCATAATCTTTTCTATCCATTTCATCAGAAAGGACATGCAGAAATCACAGTATAAAAACAAGAGAGAAATTAGAAAAAGACTCCGTTGTCGGGTGGGTAGAGAGATGGGGAAGAAAGAAGGGGAAGGCAGTGCTAGGAGACAAGCAAACAAACAGTAAACCTATAGGAACACAGTGGTCACAATGGCTAATCCAGTAAAGAGATAAGAATCTATTCCTTGTTTAAACCGTACTTAACACAGTCCAGTTTGCAGAAGATTTCTTGTTCCACAATTTCCCATTCAAACGAGATTTTAAACTTTTTCCTCCTGAGAACAGCAATGTAGAGGTCAGCAATGAAGTGCCCAGGGAGGTTGAAGTGTTCTGCCACAGCTTTTGTGTATTTCTGAAGCTGATGTCAGATTAGAGGTCATTTATTCTTACACATCGAGATGGCCCAATCTGTCCAGTCTAGATAGCAGAAGGGTGCTGCAAGCAGGTGAATGGCATATGGGATGTTTGTGGAGTAGCAGGTGAATGAATCTTGGCTATTGTACTCTTTGTTCTTAGGCCCAGTAATGTGATCTGTGTTGGTGTGGGGACACAACAGGCATTACCACAGCTGTTGATATGGGGACATAGATCCAGGCCATAACCACAATTACAATATTTGGAAATAGGCTACTACTTTAAAGGTATTAAAACCTAACAGGCTATGGCCAGCTACTGAAACCCCACTCAAACTGAAGTAGCTCCCTCAGTGTTGGTGTTGTTGGTTCCTGTCTCTGTCCACCTTGTCGCAGAGCACCGAGGTGCCCTGTTCCTAAAGAGGAGAAACTGCTAGAGAAAGAGCCCTAGCAGTGAATAAGGAGCCCAGCTGTTAGTTGCCAGGGCAACTGGAGGAGGCAAACAACCCACCCCTGCCAGCAGTCAGCTGGCTGTAAGGGGGCAGGAACTGGCTCTTATAAAGCCCAGGAGCTGAGGCCAGAAGCAGTTCCCTGCTAATAGCCAGAGAGAAAGGAGCTGCTGAAGCAAAGCTGTGAGAAGAAGCCTGACTGCAGGTACAGCTCAAGCCAGGTAAAGGATGGCAGCTCTAGGATGTCTGAGCCATGTGGTTTTAGCTGGCTGGCTTTAAGTTATGTTATAGCCTAGGGGCTTGTGTTTTGCTTTGTTGTTGTTTATCACTGGTGGTTTGGGTGAGGCTATTAAGGGACCCACAGCAGTGTGGGGACCCCAGTGCCAGTAAGGGCGCTGCCTGCAGGGTGCATAGACCCCAGCCCCAGAGAGGGGTGGTTGAGAAGCCCATGTGCAGGTGTCGTGAGCCCCTGAGGAAGGGTGTAGCACTGCGGTGAGCCCCGGAGAAGGGGACAGCAGTGCGGTGAGCCCTGGAGAGTGGGCGGCCTTCCTGAGAAGGCCCAGCGTGGCCACGGAGAGGCCCTGAGAGGGGGAGGCAGTACAGAGAAGGCCCTGAGAGGGGGAGGCAGTGTTACTGAAAGGGGCAGCCTTGTGGAGAAGGCCCTGGAGAGAAGGGTGGCATTGTTGTGAAGGCCCCTGAGAGAGGGCGGTGCTGCAGAGGATCCCTGAGAGAGGGCGGTGCTATGGAGAGGGGCCCCAAGAGAGGACAAGTGTATACTTGACAGACCAATGTCTCTTCCAACTGCGAGGCTTGGGGTGTGGTATAAGGGGTGGCTGGTGCCAGGCATAGCCCATAAGGCTAGGGTACCCCAAAGCACCCATTTGCAGGACAAGACCCACAAGGGGCCTGGGAGTCCACGGGGACAGAAGTCACAATGAACCATGTCCAAGAAGACGTAAGACAGCCTCCCAAACTTACCTAAACATCAAAGACGTGGCGGGTGAGAATCGGAGGGTGCCCTTGGGCCAACTTGGCACAGGGGAAGGGGCCTTAAGGAGATCACGGCCCTCCTGTAGGACCCCGCCTGTGACACACCTCTTCGTAATTCCACAGCTAAACTATAAATTTTATGGAAAGACATTTCCTTGCATCTGTTTTAAAGTGACTTTTTATGTCACAAAAACACTTATATTCTGAGATAAGCAGAGCAGAAACCCAATATGTATCAATTATCAAATTCTCAGCTACCTCCACTATATCTGTCAGTCTTTCTACAAATAACACTAAAACAAAGTAATATGCTGATGCAATGACTAATATAAGAATAGCTTTTGTACATGTTTAACACCTGAACATTCACTGCAATATTATAGAAGCAACCTCTCCACTTACTGTTACCTATTACTTTTAGGCCTGTTTCTGTTTGCTGTAGAGAGAATTCTGGGGAGGACACTGCACAAACTGCTGCAAAATGGGCAGCTCATCTAGATTAAATCAATTCTATAGAAGTTTACTTAATTTCTGTAAATACATGATCCATGCCCCTAATGAAGGCTTAATTTCAATAGTCTACTTAGAATGGTAACAACAAAATATCAGGGCTGTGAGAAGCTTTGGGTGCTGATTCAATTTGGAGGAGATTCGGTCAAATTCAGTGGCTGAATCTCCAAATCCAAATCAGGAGACCAATTAAAAGGTCCAAATCAATTCACAGCTCTCCAAATCTATTTGGAAAAGATTCAGAGAGCTTCAGAGATTTGGTGTGGGGGGCTGGAGGAGTAGAGAGGGGATCATAGGGGGGACCCATACCAGGCTTCAATCCCTGCCTGCTCCCCCAGCCCTCCTGAGTGCCCCCCAATCCCCGCCCACTCTTCCAGCCCCACCCCCATGGCTGCCCCACCCGGCCTTGAGACAGTGATTTTTTTTATTTTATTTTATTTTATTTTATTTATTTTTTTTTTTTTTTGAAGCACCGAATCAAATTGCTGTCCCCCGAATTGGCTAAGTCTGAATCTGAAGCAAATACTAGCTGCTTTGCACAGGCCTACAAAATATACCAGTGTTCTTATAGATTTTAAAGTGAGAACTCTAGTTGTGTTCCTCTGTTCAGAGATCGCAATGTCCTGTACATCTATCTATAAAGTATAGGTTTTGAGGCTGATCTCTATTATTGTTCTGTCTTGTTGAGGTGTGACTAAGGATATTTTCAGGAGAGGACTGTGCTGAGGCAGAGATTTAAGGCAGAGATGGTGGTGATAGATGGTCATGGGTAAGGCAAAGTATTCTGTGTAAAGGGCAACATCTAGTTATATTTAAAAAAAAAAAAAAAAAAAAAAAAAAAAGTGGGGGTGACTTTCAGCTGGCTTAGGCCTATTGTATGGATATGCATACCAGAACAAATTACCTCCTGCTCTGGCCCACTTGCCAAGGTGCATCCATTTCCTTTCATTCAAATATTTTAAGTGAACCAGCGCTAGTATGGACTATATAAAGATTGGTTAGTTATTTAACAAGTAGACATTTCTTGGTCCATGACATGCCAGTGTGCCAAATACTTCATATGCACACACTCAATGGTGAACTGCATTGCAAATAGCTGATTTTAGCATCTAGACACTTTGTAGAGAGCCCACTCTATTCATCTAACTGAGATTACACATGAGTTAGATGGAAGCTCCCCCCACCCCATGACACATGGATTGAACCACTGCCTCCCATCAGTCCCCAGATCCTTTCCACTCCATATGGGCCCCTCTACCCCCAAGTCACTAGGCAGCTACCCCAGTCAGCCCAAGAACAGTGGTAGGGATTGGTTCCCCTTCCCCTCCTGCTTCCAGGCTCCTTGCAGCCTGTGCTGTCCCTGTTCACCTGGACACCCCCCACCCCAGGCCCCACAGCTCCCTGAAAATTCCTTCCTCCACCACCACCACCACCACCACCACCTCCCCTTCAGTTTCTGGGCCTGACAGGACCTGGATCTAGATGTGCAGGGTTGGTGGGGTCTGCAGGGACCACAGGAGTAGTAAGGGAGAGCCCCCCTCCCCCCAACACCTCCACCGCTCTTGGGCTGATCAGGGTGGCAGGGAAGTGATCCAGGGGTGGAGAGGACAAAGGGTAGGGGCAGGTAGATGGACTGATTGGGGTGGCAGATCTATAGGTGGTGGGGCTGATTCAGGGGTTGAGCTGAGGGGGCAATTTA